GGGGTAGCCCTAAATTTCCAACCTGGATGTCCTATCAAAATATGAGCAAGAACTTGATGATTAAAATGGGACACTGCTTACAGCAAACCCTTTTCTGTTATCTGTTGCACTTGTCAATACGGCTCTCTACAATTCGTGCTCAAAAGGGTGCTTCATAGTAGACACTGAGGTCTAGCATTGAGCCTGTAAATTCCTGACTTTAATCAGGTGTCTTTACACCAGTGCAGCTCTCTGTACATTGGGGCTGCTTGCTTGGCTCGGCTCAGAAGATATCTTCCATGGCTTCCTCCGCGAAGTGCGCGATGTCATCCGCATGGTCTATTGCCAGGGCAGCTCCAGCTCCCAGGGCCAAGCCACCAGCTGCCGCCATGGCCATCTTGCCACCGTTGCTCATGCCCTGTCGGCCCTGTTCCATCTCATAGCCGTCATAGCTGTTGGGACCATTGGGAGCCTGGTAGGGATTCGGAGGATATCCATAGCCACCATAGCCTGGAGGACCTGGAGGACCTGGAGGACCTGAAGGACCTGGAGGTCCCTGGCCATAGCCCATCGGAGCATCACCATATGCCATGGATCCCTGGTAGCCATAGGGTTGCTGCATGTATCCGGGCTCGTTGCTTTGGCACAACGGACGCCCCTGGGCGTACTGCTCATAGGGTTGCTGGTTTCCATAGCCACCATAGCCACCATACTGTTGCTGCATGTAGGGCCGGGGACCGGGTTGGCCTGCGGCACCCATCATGTCTTCCTTGCCCATGAGACAGCCCATGACGCCAAGAAATGGAAATGGATGAAATCTCCTGGGACTTCCTAAAATCTTTGATCTGTTGGGCCAAAAGGCAGCATCGATCTACCCCAATCTACGAATCTACTGACTCCCTGGGATGCAATCGTGCGAGAACCACGTGGGTTCAGTATGCAAGACCATGGATTTAGCGATTTGGTGAATGTCCAATGCAGCAGGAAAAGCAATGTGGAGTGCAAGCGTCAAGGCATGCAAAGAGAATATCTCTTCATATTGTTGTGTGAGAGAATCTAGCAAACTGCTGATAAATATATGGTTGTCCAGTCATAGAAAAACCAGCTCTTTGACCGCAGAATTCGGAAAGAACTTACCTTTGTAGCAACCAGCAACTGCCCAGCAACTGCCTTCTCCATCTTCTTCTCCTGCAAACCAAGACGTCCACAACTCTGGTTGCCCCATGCAAACATCGCCTGTAGCCGGGGCCGTGGTAATAGGGATCCGATAAAGTTTGGAAGATTTCATCAGTTTTTGGTGGCTAAAATCGAATGGTTTTGTTTTAAGACCTCAATTTTCTCCATTCAAAAGTTGTTTTTTTTCTGGGTATCCCCTGTTTTCAGACACACCCATTTGATCCAACAGGAATCTGGGACAGCCAAGCCATCCGAACTTGCCCTGCCTTGTTCCTGGCATAGACCACCATATGCGCTGGCCCAGCACCCATCAGGATGGGTGGTTGGGGGAGATTTCGAATGATCTCTGGCTGTGGTGACTCCTGAGGGATGTTTAGTTTGTCCGAAAACTTGGGACCCAACAATCCCAAACTACCGGAAAAGGAGAAAAAAATGTTTAGTATAGTGGTATAGTGATCTTGGACATGACCCACATCTGCAAAATATCTGATAACCCCTTTGGTACAATTGTGTTTTCACTTGCAACTCCGTCCTTCTTCCCACCTTCCAGGCCAATTTGCCCATTGCGGTTGTCACCCCATGCATAGACGAGACCTGACACCGGAAAAATGGACGCCAAAATCTCTAAAAAATCCTGGAATCCTCCCATGAATTTCAGTTGAATTTGTTTGGAAACAGGGGAACCCCAAAGTTTTCATGAACATTTACTTGGGAAAATGATGATCAACTGATCAACCATCAAGAGATCAACTGATCAACCATCAAGAAATGGTTATTTCAATGGTGGATGATCACCACCAAAGCCCCACTAAAAGTGCCAGATCACAAAATCCAAAGCCCACCTGCCGAGGTTACGAGCATCGTCGTCATTTCCGACGTGACCTTGGGAGTCGTTTGAGGATGGTTTTAGCCATGGACCATGGATGGGTACCTCCACTCTCGGGCTCCAACCACGCAGGTCACTTTTGGTTGTCCATCAATCTGCATGAACTTCATCGGCACCTGGAGCATCCCCACATGGTCACTGGGAATCCTTTGGAGCATTGGTTGTGCCTGAAATCAAAAGTTGGCCCACTGGCCCACATGTCAGTTTCTTCCAGCAATGTCAAACAAGTGTGGAAGTGGGATGGGCGAGGCTGGAAACACAAAGGGGATGGTGGAGGACCGGTTGTGCGCCGCAAGTGTCGTATGTGAAAGAGTTGTATGTGGAAGAGTTGTCTGTGTGACAGAGAGAGAGAGAGTGTGTGTGTGTGTGTGCGCGTGTGTCGGTGAAAAGCGTTGCATGTGACAATGTTTTGTGTGTGTGTATGGAAGAGTTGTGTGTGTGTGAAAGAGGCGTGTGTGTGTGTGTGAAAGATGTTTTGTGTGTGTGTATGGAAGAGTTGTGTGTGTGTGAAAGAGGCGTGTGTGTGTGTGTGAAAGAGGCGTGTGTGTGTGTGTTGTGTTGTGTGTTGTGTTGTGTTGTGTGTGTGTTGTGTGTGTGTGTGTGTTGTGTGTGTGTGTGTTGTGTGTGTGTGTTGTGTGTGTGTGTTGTGTGTGTGTTGTGTGTGTGTTGTGTGTGTGTGTTTTTTTACAACCCCTACAACCCTGTTGATAGGTCGGCAGGCGAGCTCGCTGGTGGACATGGTATCCACGGCCCGAGGTGACAGCAGATTTGGACGTCCGCTGCTGCCACCCCGGGTCTTTTCCCAAACCTGGCCCCTTAGGGCTACGAAAAGAAAAACTGTAAATGTGTCCCATGTACATGCATCACAGGTAGTTGTTAGTAATGTCATGCCATGGAACATCCAAGAAAGGTGAAAAAAGTGGTGGAGAAACGCAAAAACTCTCAGAAGCCATCGTCAGCTGCCGCTTGCAAAATCAGCGCATGCCGCTGGAGTTCAGCTGCCGCCAAGCCGCTGAGCCAGCAGCTCATACCACAGCACAGCCGCAGCGTCGCAGCACAGCAGCTGCCGTGGAGAGCAAAATGCCCAGGCATGCAGAGAAGCCGCATAAATGCAGTCGAGTTGCAAAAACTGAAGAAAACACAATCTCACCAGCTATCGCAAAAAGCCACCGTAGCGGCATCATTAAAATTGCAAAAAGTGCCAAGCCATATCGCTGAAGTTGCAAAAGAAGGAGCAAAGTGCCCAAAACGCAGCTCAGCAACAAAATGCAGTCTTGTTGCAAAGGTCAAAACGTTGTCCAAGCCAAGCCAATGAAGATAGCATAGCAAAGTCAGCCGTGCTGCCCCCAGCGAAAGAAATTGAAAAACACCAATGCAAACATTGAGATGCAAAAAGTGGGTCATGGCGCTGATGAAGTGTCCTCCTCACGCACGATGGTGCTGAAGCTTCTGAAGCGCTCCGGCGCCTCCGTTTCCATTGTCCTGTCAGATTGCAAGTTGGGTCGGACTAGCCAGAACATCACACTGTTGCGCAAGACAAAATCAGGAAGCTGTGTCACTCTATCGGGAGGGCGTGCATCCTCATACAACATCCATTGTTTCTGATAACGCAAAGCTGATCTGTAATGGCCGGACAGTGGCGAAGATCCCAAATGGAAAACAATGGCACATACAGCAAACGCGTCAAAAGTCACATCACCTTCCTTGTTGCTGAAGCATGGAAAGCGGACAGTGTTTTGACCGATGTCGATTTTCTGAAGGCACTTGGCATTGGTTTCAGGATCGAAACGGCTCAACATCAGTATCAAATGATAGCCCACCTCCGCAGATGCTCGGCAAAGACCTAATGGGTCATGCCAACAATCGATCAATGTTTGAAGCTGACATGAATCTGCTGTGTGATCATGATACTGCATCTGGATCGGTGTGAAGCGCGTTCCTTTTTCGGAAGGCAAAGGGTCATCCCCAATCGCCAAACGCCCCGGCTTTGTAGTCCAGCCGCAGTGGAGAAATTGAGGTTGCATGATATGTAAAAGATACGTTGCAAACTCACATGCATCATGTTGAATCCTGAATGACTCCACTGACCAATCCCCTAAGAGCAGCCACACAAAAGGACCGAATTTCGGCAGGTCCATGGGTATGTGATAGGCAAGGAAAATGCTTCGAAGCAGCTCAAAACCATGAATCCATTGTGAGGGATCGTTCCCATTTGCAAGCAAAGTCAGCCAAGCAAGGCTGATGACCACCGCATTGGCGAAGCAGGCCGTGCCAGTGCTGTTCATGAAGATCGGCACGCATGTCACATGTGCTTCTGAAGTTGCTTGGCCAGCGGGGTGCGTTCCAAGCTCTGTGGTCGAAGACGCACTTGCACAAGCTGCCAAGAACTGTGATAGGCCAACCTGGCCACTTCGTGCCACAGCTCCGGTGTGTTGCGGAGCGCCACTGTCCAAATCCAAGGTAGGGCCTGTTGAGGCTCTTTTCCCTCCACCGGCTTCTTCAGGCTGTGGAAGCTTCCATCAACCTCATGATGTTTTGGAGACTCCGATGGACCTCCTCGATGGGCATGCCAGACTGATCCGTTGGCTCCAAGCACTTGCGCTGTTGGCTCCATCGCAGGAACGGCATCGTCCGATTGTGGTCGTCCTTCACCAAATGGTAGGACTTGCAGTCCCGGAACAGCGCCTCTGTCGGCGTGGCCTCCATCAGCTTCTGAAGCCTGCTGTCCAGCTCCTTGATCATGGACAGCGCCAGGAGGTGGCGGAGTGGGACAGATTTTTCCGTTTGCTGGTGCCATTGGCGGCTCTGTTCCATCATCATTGGAAGTATGCTCCCTTGGCCAGGGGCCAGATGAAGCAAAAACTGACTCTCCTGAAGGAGACTGTTGATGGTGTCCTCGTGTTTCATCACCAGGCGGCATAGGGTTCCCAGCACTGCTGTTGGCATTGTTGTGGATGCTTTGGAACTGGAGCGTTCCCTCCGATCTGTTCTGGGCCTTTTGGAGTCTCGATCGGCTGGTGCTGCAATGCCCAATGCTGCCATCTGGTCCGCCGTCAGCAAGTTGCCCCAAATCTTGGAAGCCGCATCGATGCCTTCCGAGGCCTCTGATACCGTATCCATTGAGGAGAAAAACGGCAAGGTTGAGGAGGGCCGGGCACTGCTCTGTGTGCTTTTTGAGGCCGCAAAATTGGCATGGATCCACACATCGCAGGGCCAATCTTGTATAGCACATATAGGTTTGAAATTGCAAGAAGTTGTGGTCACGATGGAGGTGCTGAATCATATGTTGTGAAATGAAAAACACTTTGCCACAAAGGAGACATTTGTGTGTCACACAATCGGCAATCAAGGTGTCTTCGAGCAGTTGTAAACCACATTGTGCCGTCAGTTCAAGTGACAATCCAAAGGTATCTGAGGAGCTGACGTTGAACTGCCACATCTTCAAGGCATGCTGTTGGCGGGTCTCTGCGATCTTTTCCTGGGAAGCCCATGTCAATGGTTGCAAAGCCGGACTGGACCATTTCGGATGCATGAGCAGCAAAGCCATCTGTGTGACCATCGGACACTTCTCAAGATGTGCATGGGGATCCACACGTAGCTCGTCCTCAGAATCCAGATATGTTGGAAGCAGATCATTGCACCAGTCACAACGTTCATCTTCCAAACTCAATGACGAATACACTGCACTGAGTTGATGTGTGACATACTGCAACTTGTCTGCAGTGATCTGGTGTCGGACCACCAAGTGAGCCTGGATGTGATGTAGCGCAACTTGCTCCTGACAGATCAAGCAGCGATTGGCCAGCATACCAAGCAAATCTGAATCCTCCCACAGCAAATGAAAACTGCGTGTGATCAAAGCCATTGAGATCTTCTGGAGGGCTGCACAGGGGAGCAGGTCGGCCAGGAGCACCATCAGCTCATGCGATGTGTAAGGCCATGGAATCACCACCTGCCAGTTGAAAGACGCTGCAATGATGGCCAACTGTGTCAAACCAACACATTCGTGATGCTGAATGCCCCATCCTGGAGAGGGGTTACAGAAACAGCCCATCTCCATGAACATGCTCCATTGAAACAGCTCCTTGAGAAAGAGGCTTTCCTGCAGATGCACCGGATGTGCTGCATGGAGATGGTGTCGTAGATCTTCCGCATCAGCTCCTGAGTATCCACAGACCTGGCAGTGCATCGTCAGGTTCAGCTTCAATCCACTCCTGCAATAAAGATTGTGCACAAAGCCCAACCAGAGCAATGGCTCTATCTGTTCCACCACACTGAGGATCACGTCAGGAGGTTCAGCCAGCAGCTGCGGCATCATCTGGCATTCTTGATCAAGCCTGAGCAGGGCGAACTGCAGGTAGATGGAGCAGATGTGCTTGGTGTAGGTGGGTGGATGACACACACAGCCATGGATGGGTTTCCATT